TAAAAGTTTCATCACAAATCGCCAAACGAGTCATCGCTCTAGAAAAAAAAAAAAAAAAAAGAACTGCGTGGTGCGCCAGCAACAGAGGGGGGCGGGGGGGAGAAAAAGAGGGAGACGAGGCCTGTTACTGCCGCACGCACGCACACACACACACACACACACACACACACACACACACACACAGAAATATGCGTCTACAAACACACACTGCATAGGAAACACACACCGGGCAACACTCACGCCCCGGCACACGCACGGTCAAATAAAAACCTTTTTTCTCCTCTTCAGCGAGGAGCAAAGCACGGCGGCGGCGGCGGTGGACTGGAGCAGAAAAGCCAGCAGGAAAAACAAGCCGAAAGCCGCCTCTCTTCCTCTTATTCTCTCCGTGTGTCTCTCAGGAAGGGAAGCATACAAGAGAACGTACCTCGGAAAACCTCCTGCTGCATCTCTGCTGCGTTGTGTGTTCTCTCCCCTCACACTCCCTCTCCCTCTCTCGCTCTCCCCCTTGGTCTGTGTGCGCGCACGTCTGAGTGTGTGTGTGTGTGTGAGAGAGAGAGAGAGCAGGGCGAGAGAGAGAGAGGCGGTGCGCACACACACACACACACACACACACAGGCAGCAGTGTGTGAAGGCAGAGGGCAGGAGCGATTCTCACACTCGAACTTGGTGCTCTCTCTCTCTCTCTCTCTCGCTCGCCCTCGCTCTCCTCTTCAGTTTTTGCTTCTGACACACAATTCTTAATGTTTTTGCGCTTCTTTTTCTTCCAGCAAGTGAACCCCCTCCCCTCAATTCCCCCCACTGAATCCAATCTTCTTTTTATTTGGAAGTGTTGTTCCCTCTCCCCCTTTCTCTCTCTCTCTCTCCCCACACACACACACCAACACACACACACACACACACACACACACACACTACTTTATATACACAAAGCCCAGCGATAGGGAGAGGGAGGGAGAGGCAGAGGGAGACAGAGTGGGAGAGCAAGCAAGAGGACGCCATTTAAGCAGTTTTGTTACAAGCACTGCGAGTCCCCAAAATGGCTGAAAACAAACAGGAACCACGCCAAGTCGAAAAACCTGGGCACGAGGACGGACGCACGGACACGCAGACGGGGGAGGCAGGGGGGGGGGAGAGGAGCGTGTGCGAGAGACACGAGGAAGACAGAGGAGACAAAACTGGCGGTATAGTCAAATGGCGGACGGGAGCGTTCTGTGAAACTGGTGGAGTTGAGCGAGAAAAAACGGGTCACCAGAGGGGCACTCGAGCGCTAAAGCGCTGAAGCGGAATAAAGTTGAGACTTACGCGAGACTGATTTAAAAAAAAGAAAGAAAAGAAACGGCCCAACAGAGGCCCAAATGCCCCGACCTAAAGCCCAGCCACCACGAGGCAGCGTCCTCCATTTCCCAAGATGCAACGTTTCACTGGGGAAAGACAACTTGACACGTCGCCATCCACCTGATGATTCCGTCCGGCTCGACGACCACAAAGTAAACAGTCATCCGCCGTATCTGCACACGTCTGCTTGGTGCAAATACCGCCGACACGTTGTGTGCAACGGGTGAACGCCGCTGCACGCTAATGCGATCCAAATGTGTGGAAATTACGCCGCGTTTGCCGTGTTTTTAATTTGGTGACCTGGGAACGAGGATCAAGTCTTTTTCTTCCGCCGCGGTGCTAATGCGCCGTTCCCCTAATCGCTGCCAGAACACAATCTTATTTTTCTTAGAGCTTAAAAGAAAAGAAAAAGAAAAAAAGCCTCCAGACGTTATACAACCACCTTCACGGGCTCCTCGGTAAACCCCGGGACGGGTGAACCGTGGTTCCCCGTGTGAGTGCGCTTCTTCTAGGGAGAAAAGCAATAAAGGTGAACAGACGAGGACAAAAAGATGGGGCGGGGGACACCGTTCGATTGTCCGTGACCTCGGCCTAAAGGGGTCAAATTGCTACCGGGGGTTGATGATTTTAGGCCGGTGGTCGGATCCGAGTCCCGACACATGTGGCTGAACCAGCTCCTTTTTACTTTTTTACAGCACAACTTATAAAGGCCGACCCCCGACCCCCCCCAAAAAAATAAAACCTGAGGCGGCGCCGCATCGGCCGCTGAGTTCTGCAGATGGATATCGCTTCCGATTCATCCGTATCGGTGCCAAATGCCTCACAACAACACGCCTCTCCGCTGCGGTCGCTGTCAGGCGTCACGGTCAGTGGAAATTCCACATACCTCCGTCCTCCCTCCGTCGGCGGCGGCGGCCTTACGCCGGGAGGGCGGAACCAACGGGGCAGAAATATCTGAGGAGGGGGTGGAAGAATGTTGGAAACGCTGTTATGCTTCAACACCATTATACTTCCCACTGTCCTTTTGAGCAGAACTGGCCCCCCCCACACCCCCAGCCCCCTCCGTCCTCCCCGCACCCCACCAACTGAACCTTGACGCCAACTACCCGCCCTCCTCCTACTTTCCCTCTCTCTCTCCCTTCGCTTTCATCACTCTCTCCCTGCCTCATTGTACACTGCCACACTCGTCTCCATGGGAACCGCTCTGGGATTGGGTGTTGTTCCTGTGACCTCTCTGGCTGTTGGAGTTAGCCAAACTTTTTTTTTTTTCTTCTTCACCCCCACCCCCCCCGACGCCCCACGCGGGCTCTCCCGTGCACTCCTCTAGTAAAGCATGCTGGGTGTGTGTGTGTGTGTGTGTGTCACACGTGACGTATGACAGCAGTGGGGAGTCGCTTCCGGATAGGACTCTTCAATTAAAAAGCCAAAGAAAAGAGGCTGTGTGCCTGTGTGCGTGTGCGTGTGTATGTGTGGGTGTGTGTGAAGCAGATTGCCCGTTGGCAAAGACAATAGTGTGTGTGCGTGTGTGTGCGTGTCCCAGGAGTGTGACCACTCGGTTCACACATGTGTGCTGGCATTGCCGTGAGGCTGCAGCCCGCCACAAACTCTGTATTCAGAGGCCCCCCCTGCCCCCCCCGTAGTCCAGCCGCCCCTATTCATGGATGTTTGGCCAAACGTGATCATAGCTTTTCATGCTGTGCTACCAAGCGACACGCACATCTGAACACACAAAGATGGAGGCGCCGAGGAAGCAGAGTGGGCGGAAGATTTGAAGCCATCAGACTTTCTGTGTTTTAAACGTCTGGTCTTGAGAGGAGTTGTCGATGTCGTCTCAGGGCCTTAATGTGGCAGCCTAAAAATAACCAACGTGGACCCAAAAACTGTTTTTTCATCGATAATTCAAAGAACAGCTCAAACCAAACGGAAGTGTTGCATAATCCCCACAGAAATCACACACACACACACTAACTGTAAGTGAATGGCGCAGTTAAAAGGCCCCCCGCGGAGTGACGGCGCTGTAGGAGCAGTGTTTTGAACAGCGAGTCTTTGTGTTGTTGGGTTTGTCGCGGTCTACCAGCATGACGAAACATATGCACACACGATGGGGGGAAAAGCAAAAACACATTTCTGCCCACTGAGAAGGGCAGTAACAGTTGACACGTCGATGTAGCAACGGGCGAGAACGAGAGAGGACGACGAGTCCGCCTGTTGGTACGAAACCCCTCCGGTCTCAGAACACTAGAGAGGGAAAAAAACGGTGTTTTAAAAAAAATGTTTTTACGAAGGCGAGAATAAATTAAATCGCCATGTTTGTTCGGCCTTTTTACGATTGTTTTGTTTGTTTGGCCACAAGAGGGCACCAGAAACAGAAACACGGCCCGTTAAGCCGCTATTTTAATCGAAATACGATGTTGGATATAACTTTGCCGTTTCAGGTGCCGGCGTGATCAGTTTTTCAGCGTTCTGGTAGATGGATCAGTTATTTATTGGAAAACAGAAGAACCAATTTTTAGGACATTTCACCTTTTCTCTCATTTTTCCAGGTTTTCAAAGACGCGTGGGAACCCCGATTAACCCGTTAACTGTGCTTTGTGCCTCTAGTGAAAAGGCGGAGGGAGTCACTCCTCTTACATTAGATGGCGAAGGGATTAGACGCGCATATCAGGTATCAGATCTCAAGTTCTCTTTTCCTTCAGACGGAAAAAAGGAAAAAGCCTTCTAGAGACACAGCAGTTACGCAACCAGTGGCAATATCAGTTTCTCCTTAAATCCTCATTCAATTCAATGAAAAGCTGTGTCCAAACTTTAGACTGTGTGCGAATATTTCCCGAAGGCCCCTCTCAAGGGTTGGTAAACATCCAAAAAGGGGGGAAAAAAGGAAACGGGGATAACTAACCTGGTCTCTAGCGGAGTTGGCCTGAGATCAAAGTGGGAAGTCAAACGGCGCCCGAGGAGTTCAAATGTCCGTAGCTTCTTAAAGAGAAAGCTGTGGCTTCACGAGCAGCAGTTCCTCTGTGTGTGTGTGTGTGTGTGTGTGTGTGTGTGTGTGTGAGAGAGAGAGGCCTGTACGGAACCGCAGCACACGCATGTCCACGCGGGTCCCGGCTCAGATGAGCGGCACAAATGATTACATGTGATTCGTCGTCACAGATGAAAGGGCGCCTGAGCCCCCAGCGGCGCTTTGCAGACGCCGGGGCGGCGTCGCGGGTAACTGGATGAAAGCGGAGAGATGAGCGTGCTGGAACACGTCCGGCGCTCACGCGCCTCAGCTGTTTCACAAAAACAAGTGTCAGGGAAACGCAGCCCGACGCAACGGACCAGAAAATACACTCATCCACTGTGATTTATACCACGTATGTGTGTGCGTGCCCAGTTTATAAATCTCAGTGTCATCGGTTATTAAGTAAAACTTGTCATTTTCTGACATGTTCAGGAACGTTAAGCTTTTAGGGGGGGGGGGGTTATGGGGGGGTTCCCGTCAGTAGAGGAGCCTTCCCGGGCCTTAAATTTCCAGCAGAGAGTTAGCGAGTTCAACGCGGCCACCGCCCCTTTTCCTGCTGCTCCGGAGGACTGGAACACACAGATGTCCACAATCTGCGCGCCGCAAGGCTGAGGCCGTTTCTTTGCAGCGCGCCGAAAGGACTCGTGCGAGTCGCGTCGACAGGTGACGGGAAACAAGAACATCGCCGCGCGGCGCGGCTCAGCGAGCCTTCGGGCGCGTTGAGCTCCAGAAGGCGTGTTGGTGTGAAACACTGCTGAGTCACTCAAACGGTCCCTGGACACACACACACACACACACGCGAGATAACCAGTTATTCTTTTTCTGGGGGTGTTTTTAAAAAGGAATTCACTGGGTTTAAGCCCCACAAGAGGCAGCTGGAGGGGAATATACGATCGGGTTGATACGCGACAAACAGCTGGCAAAATATGGCTGTATAACAGGAAGCAGAAAAGCAAAGGAGAGAAGGAAGAGAGGGATACGGAGTGCGGACGTTGCCAAAGGAGACTGGAAAGAATAGGTGGAAAATCATCTGGGAGGGGTGCCTGATACGGCGTCGAGGAGGGAGAGGGGGTGGGGGGGGAGGAGGGGGGAGACGGGCGGACGGCTGGTTTTTCCACTGCCAGAGAGAGAGAGAGAGAGAGAGAGAGAGAGAGAGAGAGAGAGAGAGAGGGAGGACGGCTAAATCAAATTAATTAGCTCCTCCATCTCCAGGCGGCTACTCAGGCATGCTGTACTGGCAAAGAGAGACAGTTGGAGGGAGAACGGGGTGAGTGAGGGGGGAGGGGGGGGTAGCTTTTGGCATACGAGAGGGGGAGAAAGCGAGATAGGACACGGCGGAGGGGTGAAAAGCCCGCTGTGTGTGTGCGTGTGCGCCATTCAGGAGGCCGGGCCTCGGAGGGGAGGGGTGCATAATTCTCTGATAAGCGCGAGCGTTGTTTTGCTGGAGCCTCTGTTCAGTCATGAGGAGGAGGAGGAGGAGGAGGAGGAGGAAGGGGCTGCGTGTCGGCTGACGCTGGTCGCTGCTGCCCTTCGGGGGCCGATGGCGCTTCCTGTTTCTCGACAGCCTGTGTTTCTGAAGGCGCTGCGCTGTAAACCACCCTGCTTTTGCGCACGCCTTCTTTAAATAGCACGCAGGCACTTCAAGCGCAACGTCCCGGAGAGACGGGGAGGAGAGAAGGTCTCGCGAGGAGGAAGGGAAAAAGGAGGATGTTCAGGGGTTGTTTTTTTTTTGAGCAGTGGCAACATGGGTGCAAACTTTTAAAAAATGACATATACACACATGAATAATAAATCACTTAACCGTTGACATTAGAAGAAAAGGGGGGGGGGGGGCGCGGTGCGGTAAAAGCAGAGAAAAGAAACGACAGATGGTTTGAGGCGATGGCGTCACGCCAGGCGAAACAAAACGGCCGCACAGCAGAGCGACTAAAAGACCAAAAAAAATAAAAAAAGTGAGGAAAGAGGAGAGGAGGCCGCGGCAAGCAGCAGTGCCCGGGGGCGAGCCACTGGGGGAGGCATGTGGCCCTCGCTGAGGCTCCCCATGCAGAGGAGAGGAGCGAAGGAAACGGAGGACGGGAGGGAAGATGAGAGGAAACGATGAAGATTAAAGGTTTGAGCACTAAGGAGACGCTTCAGACAATTAAGGAGAAGCATCATCTGACTAAGAGGGAGCAAATTAAAACTAATATCACGCGCCTCCGTCAGCCAATCAGGTATCAGTTTACATTGTAAATTGTATACAGCCAACAAGTTTGGTCCCGCTTGGCATTCAAGTGGAAATCGATATACACGTAATTAGCACATGAATTCCTGAGTTGCGGCCCAGAGGTCACACTGACCTTTGACCACGGCGGATAGAACCAGTTCATCCTCGAGTGGAAACTTGATTTGTGCAACATCTTGAACCCCCTGCAGGCGATCTCGTGACATCACAAGGACGTGCGAGCGCACCAGCAACGTGACATAACGCTCGCGGCCTTCGCCAGCGCGGAGCCGTTGAAAAAAGACGAGGCTTCCCAAAAACAGGAGGAAGGGGAAGATGGTGTGTGTGTGTGTGTGTGTGTGTGTGTGTGTGTGTGTGTGTGTGTGTGTGTGCGTGCGCGCAGCAGGCCAGAGGTCAAAGCGCGGCGGCAAACGACTCCGCAGCGTTTCCTGGACGGGGGTTTGGCTGCAATCCGAGAACCCCAGATTAGCACTAAGCCGATTGCAGCGCCAGGTGGGATCGAGAGCAATTAATTTAGCACCCAGATAGTTCCAGGAAGAGGCCGAAAGAACGTTGAGAGAAGAAAGAGGAGGGAAGAAAAAAAACACGCCGGCCTCCTGGAAAACAGCGGATGACTTTAACTCTCCCACTTCAGTCCGTCTCTCGACAAATTAGCTGCAGGAAGAAAAAAAAAAAAGGACTCTTGTGTTAAAACGAGAGCAGGAGAGAAAGAAAAGGGAGCGTTTCGGGTGGTCTGAAAGAGCGCGCGGACGATAAAAAGGAAGGATGAAAGAAAGATGAAGACGCTTGGCAGCGGCTGACATCAGCCAAAACAAACAGCCAAAGAACAGGACATTCTCTAGCCGGACAGAAATGGGACGGCCTGTTCGGCTCCAATGGGCGCTGAGCGAGAGCATGCCTCCGGGCCCACGTCACACCCATTAGTATTACAAAACAGCATCTTGGTGCACAATTTCAGGGTGAGGGGGGGCTAAGACATTTCTGTCTCATTCGTATTCGTTTGTGAGGATGACAAAAAGAAACCGCACACAAAATGACTTAAGACGAGACAAACACCTTCCGCTGCTGTGTTTATTTTTAGCGGGTGCATATTAAGCCGATAAGGTTTGGTTCTTTTTTTTTTAAACGGAACGAATTCCGGCCCCCGACCTCGGCAGGGATATTTATTTATTTATTTATCATTCAAACAGGAGCATCAAAGCCTTCGGGACAATGCTGCCGTTACAGTTTAGGCTTTTTAATCGTGGACCAGACCGATAGTCTGCTCCTCCTCCCGGCGCGCTCTGCATCCGCCTGTCTGTTTCTCCCGCCCTGTCAGTCACCTACGCCCCCCCCCTTTTTTTTTTCCCCCACGACAACACACCGTCAGACTCTGACATCAACAGACAACAGCTCCCCCTAGTTGAATGCTCACCCCACCGAGGCAGGACGGCCCTCTGGAAAGAGGAAATACGCACTGGAAGATTTGTACCGACAGACACTATATAAAATATACCTAATTGAACGCATTGTGAGGCCTGCTTAAAAATAGCAACCACTGGGGACTACGGTCACATAGCAATGCAGATCATCCAGCAAAAACACTAATCAGGAATAAATAGAATAAAAAGTATGACCAATTCCATCACTGCAATGAAAGGAAAATATAAGCAAATCTAAACCGTGAGGTTTTCCCCCATGGACTCACTAAAAATGTTTTATTGGCATTCAGTGCCTTAAAATGAGAAGTTGTAATTTCCCAAATAGAAGGCTTTTACAGCTCTTGAAACATGCAATATAGTAAACTTACAAGTCTTAGTTGCGGTCCATTGATGGAAATCAGATGCTGTGAAAATAGTTAGTGTAAAGATAATCACAGGTTAACGTCCTGCATTAAATATTTGACTCTGGTGAAGCAACGCAATTATAACATGAAAAATGTGCTTTAGGAATCAGAAAATAAAAGCAGTTATTTCTGTTAAAAAAAAAATCAAGATGGTTAACAGCGTTTTACAGCTGTACCTGTAGAAGTTGAGTAAACGTTAGCATTTTATATAATATCTACACGACTACTGAAGATTTATCTGAAGTTAATTTAGAATTTGATGAGGTTTCTTTAGGGCAGAGATCTTCGTTTTCCAAGCCAAGGTCCCCCAAACCGATGGCGAGGTGGAGCAGGGACTATTCTACGGAGTTTGGTCCGCCATCTTTTATGTTTGAGCTTCACGGTCTTTAGACGTGAGCATAAACGCGATCTGATTGGCTGGTGCCTGCGCTGTCGTATCAGCATGAAAGGAGCAGTGAGTGAACCGGTGCCCAGCTTGAGAGCTGCTGAGGGAAGCTGAACGTATGTGACTGACAGATAACGTCTTCTCCATCAATGTATCGCTTCAATATGTTGGATTCATGTCAATGTGTATTTAAAGACCATAAATAAAAAAATTGTTTAAAAAAAATTGTCTTACCAACCAAAAATGTCGCGACCCCCCTGCAGTACCTTCGCGGACCCCATGTTGAAGACCTCTGCTTTAGGGCATTTAGTTATCCTCCGAACTATGAGACCCCCCCCACCCCCCGGAAACCTTCATACAGTTCCCTTGTAACGCTCAAAAAATGTGGCAGGCAATGCTAAAATTTCAGAGAGCCTTTCCACGGTGATGTATACATGTGTTCCCACTATCGCTGATCACCCACAGCGGAGAGTGACGGTGGGCCTCTGTGCACTGACCTCCCGGCAGCAGCAGGGGGCGCGCGTCTGACAGCCCGCCGGGACTCGCTTCCGCATTGGAAACGTGGTCGCGTTCGTGTCTTTGCAAGGCTGATCATTCTCAACGTGAGCCAGAGGAGGGAGCCAGCTGGGCAATAATGGATCCTTTGTACAGCCACGGCATTGCACGGCACATGGCGAACAAAGTGATTCCCTGTCACATTCTGCGATGCCATTTTTTCGGTTTGAGAAAAGCGTTTGGGCTCCATAAGAATACTGCAGATGAGGCCTCGGTCCTTCTCTGCAGGACCTGCCAAGACGACACGATGGCAAAGAGGTGTGTTGATGCAGTCAACGTGCATCAACATGAGTGTGTTCAAAATGTAATTTATTCAAGTACCTCAAGAATAAAAAAAACAACGACCCCATATTCCACTTCAGTGTCTTTATTTAAAAACAACAAGGCAGTACAAATACAAGAGTCATGAAGTGGTCTGTCTGGAGTTCCAGTCATTAAAACAGCGGATGGACTTTTCTGCATTTAAACAGCGGATATTGAGGTGTGATTAAACCACTTTCTAGCTTTTACTCAAACGTCTATGAAGGCAGATCACAGTAGGACGAAAACATCTGAGCACCTTTGAATGGGACATGGTGTATTTACTGCTCTCAAAAAGGCGCACAAATCAACGCGCTGTGCCGTTCTGCTTTCGGACAATTATGGAGCCATTAACACCGGGCCAACATGTTTCCTTCCCTCGGGCTCTACTAACGAAAGCTGACCGGATAAGTCTATTGTGTAACAAGCCGACGGAATCTTAGTCCACGGCGACCAGATTAAATACTTTAACTGGCCTACAAACACCTACACGTTAAACTGCAGGTAATCGAAAGGAGCGAGAGGACATCAGTGTCGTGATCAGCTGTGAAAACAACAAAAAGACAACCGTACCGAATGAAGAATTGACTAACTGTCCTAACTTCAACACCGACGAAGAGACAAGAACGTTGAAATAACGGCACTGGCTAGCGACGTATCGCCGGTGTTCATCTCACCACGTAACGCGAATTAAATTAAACACCCCCTTACAGTCGCTTTTTCCTATTTAAACTCGATTATGTACCCGAAAATGCGCAGGTATGTGGCCGGAGAAGTTAGCCAACAAGAATATCCCGGACTCCATTTTTCTCGTTGACAACAAGCAGCATATCGTCAAACACCGCCATGTTGGCTGCTACCGGAGTCCAACAATGCTAGCGAAATAGCCATCATTTCTGCGCTCGGTGCGGGGATATAATACAGCAGCTAGCATACCCGCCACAACACGACCGTCGAGTAAAGTTACTACTTTTAAACTAAAGACGGAAGTTTACTTGGACGAGGTCTTGCGAGTTAACGTTAGCTCATAATTAGGTTACTGTGGCTGGAAGCTAGCTTAACGGTAGCTGAACGTTTTGTCCCGAAACGTCCATTACAAGACACTATCCGGCTGCTTTACCTTGGCATTTCATCAAGACATCTTTTGAGAATAACACCACTGTAACGCGGTGTACATCGCATTCAAAGCCAAAGGAGTTGGCGAAGCACGATAAACGTAGCAAATGTTTAAAAATAAAAAATAAATAGCAGGGGACATACGTTCGTCTTCGGCAATAAATGTTAGTTAACGTTAGCTAACAGGATCACCGGCTATAACGCCGAAAAAACAACGAAGCGTTTGTATTTACAAATGTATCTCGTTGGCTTGTAAATTGCTAGCATCGATCATACTTGCTAAATAATAGTTAGTTGGCAGACAAATACACAATGAACCGACGTTACAAACGAATGATACGTAGCTTTAACCGCCAAAACGACGGTATTTCAGACAGCTTTCGAAACGTGGCCTTCGACAATGTACTGCATTTTAACAATAATAATACAAATACATAAAAAAAACTGAACAAATCAATCGGAATAAAATTACATATACAACATTTCTTGTAAGAAAGGTAAACGGTTGTTAAAAAACAATGTAGATTTAACATGGAAGGCTTCCCCCGGACTTTCCTGAAGGCCGTACGGAAAATCCAGTCTGCCGGCTGGACTTCACTCCCAGGCGAGTCCGCGGCTTGCAACAAAGTCCCAGAGATCCAAAAATGCAAAGGAGGAAAATCCCAAAAGGCGACGTGTTTGTAAAGTAGCTAAAAAATAATCCATGATTTAGTGGTTCGCGATGAAAATATCGTGTATTTTGTCGATTACTTCCTGTATAATACATGGTCTTAACAGGCCTCAGCCCTGAGCCTCTTTTCTTAGAGCCCGGGTTGATCTACAGCGAGACGAACGGGAGAACAGAGAATTTTTTTTATTTTGCTCTGAGGGAAGAAATTCACATCGGCCAGATTCGGCAAACACCGGAGAAAGGGCGGGTTTTGTTGAAATAATTATAAGAAGGTTCATTTCTTTATAGCCATTGGTCGTCTATTTTGTTCTCCTCAATATTAACAAGAAAACGGACGAATGGAAAGCGTTCAACTTGAATATTCACATTTTGCATGCAAAGTACACACAGCACTGCCCACACAGTTTTAATAAAACCAATCGGGGCAAGTTTATATCAACTCAACACCCGCCTATGATTCTGATTCGTTAAAAAAATAAGCGTTCCTCCTAATTCGCTGTACGTGCAACCGAATTAATTATTCATGCGACTGTCTTGAATGGCCAATGAGCGTTTTACTACGGAGATCCATGTCCCACCCTCCAAAGAGTCAGTCCCTGCCTTTCTGAGTCAGCAGCCCCGTAGTATGCACTCAGTCTATAAAACCAAGCGTTGAGCCGCTTCATGTTCAGAAGCGCTTAGAGCGCTCCGGAGAGTAGACCTAAAAAGGGAAGGGGGCAGTCAGTAGCCATCATAATTAAGACTAAACAGTAGTAACTAGGTTATAAAAGCTAACGACAGCAGCGGTGCCTGGGATATCGCCTTCGGAGACTTTCCGGTCACCGTTGGCGGACTGACCAGAGTCGTGGTGGCAATTTAAAGGCTGTTCCTGCTCACAAAGCGGCGTGCCGAGGAAGGACGCGTCTCTTTGAATACACAGGATGCACGGACCGCCCTCCGGCGACAGCGCATGCCCATTGCGCACGATCAAGAGAGTTCAATTCGGCATCATCAGCCCAGATGAGCTTGTAGGTTTTCTTTTTTTGGAGGGGGGGTTGGGTATTTTATTGATTACCGGACATATCACAGATCACGTAAACAGTTCTTTGATTAATCTTGTAGCTTAACCTATGTGGCAAAGACATGGTTCAGTTAACAACGGAAAATGCTCGCTGTTAGCCTAGCCTAGCTAACTAGCTGTGTCAAGCTGGTGTAGCTTGTGCTAGTTAGCATGTTGCAGGAAGTTTGAAAAACTAAGCACAACATTCTCAAGAAATGATCCTTGCTATCACATGAATTAAACCCCCTTTTTATTGACGCAATGTACCTGATAGGCCCTTTAGGAATTAACATTTGTATCTATCTTTTCGTTGTGCACATGGCTCGTTGGGTTCATTACAAACTCGTCGTATTGTACGGATTGGTCTGTTTATTCACACAATACATTAATAAAAGGGTACTTTAAACAAAATCCGATAAGCATGTTTTTTCTTAAAACTGGATTAAATATTGGTTGGTTGGGTTGAATATTACTGCACCTTTATTTAATTGAGCATAGCGTTTTGCTTGACGTAATAGTTGATTTTTACGGAAGTTTATTTTAGCCAAAATCATTCCACTAACTTTTGCTTGTGTGTTTATTGAATTTATTTTTAGCACTGAATATTTGATTACGATCTAAATATATTTATCAATTAATATTTTTATACCGTTGAAAGAATACTTGTTGAAAATGAAATCGAATTTATGACTAACAAATAGAGGATGTAGTTGGGTAACTGCCTATTGTGCGTGTATGAATGTGTGTACATATGTATTTCTACATATATGTATGAATTAATGAATAAATTGTGTTTTTCTCCCCAGAAACGGATGTCCGTTACTGAAGGGGGCATCAAGTACCCCGAAACAACCGAGGGTGGACGTCCTAAGCTTGGTGGCCTTATGGATCCGAGACAAGGGGTCATAGAACGGACAGGAAGATGTCAGACATGTGCAGGTATGTTTCTGACCGACTGACTGGTTGCCTTGCCTATCAGCTGGCATTAATTGACGATACTAACATGTTTTTGTTTATTCTCCCTCAGGCAACATGACGGAATGCCCCGGCCACTTTGGGCACATAGAACTGGCAAAGCCAGTTTTCCACGTCGGCTTCGTAAACAAGATAATGAAGGTTCTTCGATGTGTTTGTTTCTTTTGCTCCAAGCTATTAGTGGATTCGGTAAGTACAATATGCATATTACTGTAGATCATAGTAATAATCCACTGCTATTGTATAAGTATCATTCAGAGATGTTGAACTTGGTTCCATTACTGTCTCCTCCAGAACAACCCAAAGATCAAAGACATCCTCATAAAATCCAAAGGACAGCCGAGGAAACGTTTGACGCACGTGTACGAGCTGTGCAAAGGAAAAAACATCTGCGAAGGAGGAGAGGAGATGGACAACAAATTTGGAATGGAACAGCAGGAGACCGAGGAGGACATCAGCAAGGAGAAGGTATTTGGGCGTAGTTTTACCTCACGGTTAACAAGCACTCTGGCTCTGCAGTTTTCACGGCGCCACCCAACGGGATTATTTCTCACACTAACCTTTCCGCCCTTCCCAACAATGTGACCTTGCACAGGGCCACGGTGGCTGTGGGCGCTACCAGCCGCGCATCAGACGCTCCGGCTTGGAGCTGTACGCCGAGTGGAAGCACGTGAACGAGGATTCGCAGGAGAAGAAAATCCTGCTGAGCCCCGAGCGCGTGCACGAGATCTTCAAGCGCATCGCGGACGAAGAGGACGTCATCTTGGGCATGGACCCCAAGTTCGCCCGACCGGAATGGATGATTGTGACGGTGTTGCCGGTGCCCCCACTGGCTGTCAGGCCCGCTGTAGTTATGCAGGGCTCTGCTCGCAACCAGGTAACCTCCTATGACCTCCCCACTGTTTTTGTTTTGTTGGGACATGTTTCTGCACCGTGTAAGCAACAACAACAAAACACTAATTATTTCTGTTTTTGAAGGATGACTTGACCCACAAGCTGGCAGACATTGTCAAAATCAACAACCAGCTGAGGAGAAACGAGCAGAGCGGCGCTGCAGCTCACGTCATAGCTGAAGATGTCAAACTGCTCCAGTTTCACGTGGCCACCATGATTGACAACGAATTGCCAGGCCTGCCGCGGGTGTGTGTGCATTCCCTCTGTAGAGTTCCATCTGTTCCCAGTCCGAGATTCGGTCCCACAGTTTCCTGTTAAAACGCTTTGGAGGGGTATTTATTCTAGTCCTTGAATTACAATTTGTTTCCCCCCCCCCCCCTTTCACAGCATGCAGAAGTCGGGCCGTCCTCTCAAATCCTTAAAGCAGCGCCTAAAGGGGAAGGAGGGGCGAGTCCGAGGTAACCTCATGGGCAAGCGCGTGGACTTCTCGGCGCGAACTGTCATCACCCCGGACCCCAACCTGCAAATCGACCAAGTGGGCGTCCCCCGATCCATAGCAGCCAACATGACCTTCCCGGAAATAGTCACACCCTTCAACATTGACAGGTACCGCAAAGTAGTCCGCCGAGTCAACGTCACGCGGCGGCGCGGGAGATTCATTGTCCGCTAATTGACTGCGTCGACCGTCTTAGATTACAAGAGCTGGTGCGAAGAGGCAACAGCCAGTACCCGGGGGCCAAGTACATCATCCGCGACAACGGGGACCGAATTGACCTTCGATTCCACCCAAAACCAAGTGACCTTCACCTGCAGATCGGCTACAAGGCGAGTCCAGATACATTTTTACGCTGCCCCCCAGAACCACGTCTGTCACTCAAACTGTTGATTCGGAACATATTTTAAAGCAGGCTTTTTTTCTTCTCTGTTTAGGTGGAAAGACACATGTGTGACGGGGACATCATCATCTTTAACAGACAACCTACACTACATAAAATGTCCATGATGGGGCACAGGGTGCGGATTCTGCCTTGGTCCACGTTTCGACTCAACCTCAGGTACCGAATCGCAGCTTAATTGTCCTTTTTGTTTGTACATACCAGTGATTTTTAGACCGTATTAATTTGACCTCCCACTGTTAAACGATTCCTGACTGAAACGAGTCGTCCGTGCGGCTGAGCGGTTCTAACGTCTCCCCCCGCCCCCCCCCCCCGCCAGTGTCACCACTCCATACAACGCCGACTTTGACGGGGACGAGATGAACCTCCACCTGCCCCAGTCCCTCGAGACGAGGGCGGAGATTCAGGAGCTGGCGATGGTGCCGCGTATGATCGTCACGCCGCAGTCCAACCGGCCCGTCATGGGCATCGTGCAGGACACCCTCACGGCCGTCCGCAAGTTCACCAAAAGAGACGTCTTCTTGGAGCGGGTGAGGGGTCGCGACGGGGGTCACCGGGTCGCACCGTTTTTTTGTTTCCCTGTGTCTTAACGCTGCGCCTCTCTCCGCCGCAGGGCGAAGTGATGAACCTCCTCATGTTCCTCTCCACCTGGGACGGGAAAGTGCCTCAGCCGGCCATCCTGAAGCCGCGTCCTCTGTGGACGGGCAAGCAGATCTTCAGCCTTATCATTCCCGGACACATCAACGTGATCCGCACACACAGCACCCATCCCGACGAGGAGGACAGTGGCCCTTACAAGCACATCTCGCCCGGGGACACCAAGGTACGGGTCTCTGGTTTCAGGGTGTGGAGAATCGGGGGCTGGGAATGAACGACAGTGCAAGCGAGCCCGTGTTCAACTCGCGTCCCACACACAGGTCATAGTGGAGAACGGCGAGTTGATCATGGGGATCCTCTGTAAGAAGTCTCTGGGAACCTCGGCCGGCTCCCTCGTCCACATCTCCTACCTGGAGATGGGCCACGACATCACCCGGCTCTTCTACTCCAACATTCAGACTGTGGTCAACAACTGGCTGCTCATCGAGGGTGAGTGGACAGAGCGTTCGTTGTGTCACATTAGGCAACAATTATATTGGTATTTTGTGGTTTGTTGCCCGTGTTTTGTCTTAACATTTGAGTTTTCTCTCTTCAGGTCATTCCATTGGTATTGGGGACTCAATTGCTGATGCAAAGACCTACCTTGACATCCAGAACACCATCAAGAAAGCCAAACAAGATGTGATAGAGGTAAACACGACACTTATAAAATGGGGCTATTCCAACATAGTTCTTATTATATCAGATATTTATTATATTTCCAATGCTTTCCCCCCCCCCTCCCAGGTCATCGAGAAAGCCCACAACAACGAGCTGGAGCCGACCCCTGGCAACACACTGAGGCAGACCTTTGAGAACCAGGTGAATCGTATCCTCAACGACGCTCGTGACAAAACGGGATCCTCCGCCCAGAAGTCTCTGTCTGAGTACAACAACTTCAAGTCCATGGTGGTGGCTGGTTCCAAGGGATCCAAGATTAACATCTCACAGGTAGAGGAATCCCTCTCGCCGCCGCGGCCTCATAACCCATGAGTTATTGCTCTGGCTACGCGCTACGCTTGGCGTCTCCTCACCGCTCGCCTCACCTCCTCGTCCAGGTCATTGCCGTGGTGGGGCAGCAGAACGTGGAGGGCAAGCGAATCCCCTTCGGCTTCAAGCACCGCACGCTGCCTCACTTCATCAAGGATGATTACGGCCCCGAGAGCAGGGGCTTCGTGGAGAACTCGTACCTGGCTGGCTTGACTCCGACGGAGTTCTTCTTCCACGCCATGGGAGGCCGAGAGGGTCTCATCGACACGGCCGTCAAGACTGCCGAGACGGGTGAGTCCGGGCTGCGGGGAGAGACGAGTCGAGTTATGCCGCGCGAAAGTGCAAGGACGCGCTCATAGTCGCTGGCGGTAAAAATAGATCATTTAAAACCACTTCAACGCACCAGGTTACATCCAGCGGCGTCTGATCAAGTCCATGGAGTCGGTGATGGTGAAGTACGACGGCACGGTGCGTAACTCCATCAACCAGGTGGTCCAGTTGCGTTACGGCGAGGACGGCCTAGCGGGAGAGAACGTCGAGTTCCAAAACGTGGCGACGCTCAAGCCCTCGCACAAGGCCTTTGAGAAGAAGTAAGTTGTGCGTGCACGTCCCCGGATGCTTGGAGCCTTTGTGTGCAGTTTGACATTTGGGTTGGGAGACATTTGGGGTCATTTGCTTACAAACATCTTGAATGGATTTGTTCTGGAAAAGCGTTTTATTCCCAGATGTCAAAGAATACATTTACTCAACCACGTGCACGCTCTGATTTCCCATCTTGTCCATCGCCTCCAGGTTCAGGTTTGATTGCAGCAACGAGCGAGCGCTGAGGCGGACGCTGCAGGAAGACGTGGTGAAAGACGTGATGACCAACGCCCACGTGCAGGGTTCGCTGGAGAGGGAATTTGAAAAGATGAAGGAGGACAGAGAGGTTCTCCGAGCCATTTTCCCCACAGGGGACAGCAAGGTGGGCCGCTCGCACCTGTACACGTGGCTTTGGGTCCTCGGCAGTCTTCTCGCTCTGCCCCGTGAAAAAAATCCCCAGTACGCTCACAGTGCCGTGCTTGTCCTCGCCTGCAGGTGGTGCTGCCGTGCAACCTGGCCAGAATGATCTGGAACGCTCAGAAGATCTTCCGCATTAACATCAGGACCCCGACAGACCTCAATCCTCTAAGGGTGGTCGAGGGTGAGTTTTTAAAAAAAAAAGATTTAAAAAAAAAAGATCAAATGGCACCAGGGGAGCCGACGCGTCGCCCGCTTTCTAACTCGTTTGCAACCTCCAGGCCTCCAGGACTTGAGTAAGAAGCTCGTGATCGTGAACGGCGACGACCCGCTGAGTCGGCAGGCCCAGCAGAACGCCACCCTGCTCTTCAACATCCACCTGCGCTCCACGCTGTGCTCCAAGCGCATGACGGAGGAGTTCCGCCTCACCACGGAGGCCTACGACTGGCTGCTGGGGGAGATCGAGACCAAATTCAACCAGTCCATTGTAAGTTCGGCCTGCCGATGCCCAACCACCGCCTCCCCTCCCCTCCCCCCTCCAACCTCACGCTCTCCTCCGCCCGCCCTCAGGCTCACCCAGGCGAGATGGTCGGCGCCCTGGCTGCTCAGTCCCTGGGAGAGCCGGGCACCCAGATGACCCTGAACACCTTTCCACTACGCCGGCGTGTCGGCCAGAACGTGACGCTCGGCGTGCCCCGCCCTGAAGGAGCTGATCAACATCTCCAAGAGGCCCAAAACGCCCTCGCTGACGGTCTTCCTGCTGGGTCAGGCGGCGCGCGACGCCGAGCGGGCCAAGGACATCCTGTGCCGGCTGGAGCACACCACGCTGCGGAAGGTGAGGGAGGGTCATCGGCCGCGCCCACCCTCACTCCTCGCCTCGCGTGTGACGCTTTTCAAACTGGCGGTTTTCGTCTTTCTCTCTCTCTTGCTCAGGTGACGGCCAACACCGCCATCTACTACGACCCCAACCCCCAGAACACGGTGGTGTCCGAGGACCAGGAGTGGGTGAACGTGTACTACGAGATGCCCGACTTCGACGTGACTCGCATCTCCCCGTGGCTGCTGCGCATCGAGCTCGACCGCAAGCACATGACGGATCGCAAGCTGACCATGGAGCAGATCGCGGAGAAGATCAACGCGGGTGAGGGTCCTCTCGGTCTCAGTAGTTTGAAGGAGGCGAGTTTGCGCCCCCCCTTTATTTTTATTTTTTTTACTTTGCACTTCACTCACTTCTTTTTTTTACCCTGCAAGGTTTCGGAGATGACCTCAACTGCATCTTCAACGACGACAACGCCGAGAAGCTCGTTCTGCGAATCCGAATCATGAACAGCGATGAGAATAAGTTCCAAGAGGTGAGCGGCGATATTCCATATTCAGACATTCCGCCTCGCCCTCCACTCGGCCTCCACATCGCTCACAAACGTCTGCGTGTTTTCTTCTCCTCGCCTAGGATGAGGAAGTGGTGGACAAGATGGATGACGACGTGTTCTTGAGGTGCATCGAGTCCAACATGCTGACGGACATGACCCTGCAGGGCATTGAGCAGATCAGCAAGGTAACACACACAGACACACACTCGAACCCGTCTCTGACGAACCTGTCAGCGGTTGAAGAAGCGTCTAAGGTGGCGCTCTCCTTCCACAGGTGTACATGCACTTGCCCCAGACCGACAATAAGAAGAAGATCATCATTACTGAGGACGGCGAGTTCAAGGCCATGCAGGAGTGGATCCTGGAAACGGACGGCGTGAGCCTCATGAGGGTCCTCAGCGAGAAGGACGTGGACCCCGTCAGGACCACCTCCAACGACATCGTGGAGATCTTCACGGTACGAGCGCGTAATAAGCGCGGCCTGGCCTCCTCCATCCGCCGTGAAAGGTGGCAGCGGGATCCAGAGTAAACATTCCTTCCCTCTCGCAGGTGTTGGGGATCGAGGCGGTGCGAAAGGCTCTGGAGAGGGAGCTGTACCACGTCATCTCCTTCGACGGCTCCTACGTCAACTACCGCCACTTGTCGCTGCTGTGCGACACCATGACCTGCCGCGGCCACCTGATGGCCATCACGCGCCACGGCATCAACCGGCAGGACACGGGGCCGCTCATGAAGTGTTCCTTTGAGGAGACGGTGAGCCGGCAGCGTCCCGGTTGTGTGGAGAGAGGGAGGACCTTCCCGTCTCATATTTCTCACGGCTCTTTTCCCCCGTTTTCACGCCCGCTCCCCAGGTGGACGTGCTGATGGAGGCGTCGTCCCACGCAGAGAGCGACCCCATGAAGGGGGTGTCGGAGAACATCATGCTCGGCCAGCTCGCCCCGGCGGGCACGGGATGCTTCGACCTGCTGTTGGATGCCGAGAAGTGCAAATACGGCATGGAGATCCCCACCAACATTCCCGGCATCAGCGTGGCTGGACGTAAGTAGGGGCGGCGAGAGGGTGAGGGGGGGGGGGGTATAATACAGAATTGTGGGTGTAGTTGGGGGGCCGTGGTGTTTATGTTCTGTCTCCGTCCTATTTGCAGCCACCGGAATGTTCTTTGGCACGGTGCCGAGTCCCATGAGCGGCATGTCGCCCGCCATGACGCCCTGGAACACCGGGGCGACGCCGGCCTACGGCGCCTGGTCTCCCAGTGTCGGTGAGTGTGTGTGTGTGAGAGTGCGCGTGTGCTCGTTTTCTGGCTGTTTTGGCGCCTCCCTGTTTTTATTTTTGGGCTGAGTGTCCCGTCGCTGACTTCCTTCCTTGCTCGTGTCGTTCCTCCAGGAAGCGGCATGACGCCCGGAGCTGCCGGTTTCTCTCCCAGCGCGGCGTCCGACGCGAGTGGCTTCTCCCCGGGTTACTCCCCGGCCTGGTCCCCCACCCCCGGGTCCCCCGGGTCCCCGGGGCCCGCATTGCCGTGCGTCACACCGCCGGGGCTGTGTGATAACAGGACGAGCTATTTCTCTGGTGTGATGTTTTCTGTATTATTATTGGTAGATTATATGAAAAAAAAAATTTCTTTTTTTTTTCATTTCAAATTGAATTTTTCTCATATGCTACAATTTCTGTGTGACGGGCCGCTTGATAACAGAAAGACGAATAATGAAACAATTTGAGACTCAATTCAAGACTGAACCGTTTCATGATATTTTTCCTCCTAATTGCTTCCCTTAAGTTTCCTCCTTACCATAAAGTACCTGTGAGCTGAGACACGGTCAAAGAGGCAAGTTGAAGTCCCACCACTATGACAGGCATACAAAACTGCTGACCCAACCGTACAGAAACATTTGTGCATCTCTGACCGCACAGTCCATTAGTCATTGTTTAATGGCTGCACCAGCAATGACGGGGGTAATTCATGTGACTACCATTTTCAATTTGGTACAAATAAAAGGCTGTGAAATCAGAAGCTATTGTAAATGCAATTAGGGCCAGATCCCATCCCTCCATTTTCTGAAATGGCTGGTCACAGATTAAAGAGATACTATATTGAGGGAATTGATCTCCATCCAGCTTCAACCCGGTCACCATCTGATCCTTCATCATCTGCACGCCTCCAATCAGTTTGTGAGGCCATCAAGACAGTAATAATTTTTCAGACCATTGTTGCGTAAGTTACGTAAAAAG